GGTCAATGTTGTCTGCTGAATGTGGTCAATATTGTCTGCTGAATGTGGTCAATGTTGTGTTATTGAACCTTGCGTGACAGTATTGAACTTACAGTATAGCTCTGGCTGGAGGAGGAGTTATCTGAGTGCGTGCGGAGATAATGCAGTTCAAGGCACTCGAGCTCCGAGTTGAAGTGCTCTGACAAACCTCTTCATTTACTAATGAATGGGTGACACTTGTTATGTATCGTCTGAACTCAGGAATCATTCTGGGCGACTTGCTGAGGGGAGGGAGAGAGGGGAGGGGGGAGAGGGAGAAAATGGAGGGGGGAAAGAGAGTGAGAAGGAGAGAAAGAGAGAGAGAGATGGGGGGAAGGGGGGAGAGAGAAAGAGGAAAGTAGAGAAAGACTCAGACGAACCTATCCCAGGACCATATCGCAGCGGCCTCGCTCCCCCCTCCGCACATATCTATCTATCTATCTATCTATCTATCTATCTATCTATATATATATATATATATATATATATATATATATATATATATATATATATATATATATATATATAACACGTTTTCGTTAGGTTAGAATGGGTTAGGTTAGGTTAGGTTAGGTTTGCTTATAGAGTAGCGATGACGTATAAGTTACATTTTTTTGTCTGATTTTAGACCTGACTGGAACGACCACCATGAGGAGTGTGCAGGTTATTTGTATGTGTTGGTTGAGGGACGGTCAGGTGTGGGCACGTCAGGTGTGGGAACGTCAGGTGTGGGAACGTCAGGTGTGGGAACGTCAGGTGTGGGAACGTCAGGTGTGGGATCTCTTCAGCCTGGGAACGTGGATGGGACAAAAGCCAGCACTCCGGTGATACACTTTGATGCTCTTCAACTAACTTGTGCGATAAGAAATTAAGAGTAGCTGAATGTTTTATTTTACAAAGAATTTTCTGCTCAATTTAATTTCTTCAGTTTTGTCTTGTATGTGTTTGATGACTCCACAAGTTTACGTTTTAAAATATAGAACGTACGGGATAAACATGAATTCCAATGTGGTTGAAAGACTCGTCCTCCTGCATAAGACTGGCTAGGGATCTTAACACTGGCTAAGGGTCTTAAGACTCCCCCCCCCCCTGCCTAAGACGGCCTCCTCGCCACAGAACCAGCAACAAGAGGACTCCACCACCGGGACCATTGTCGCCTCCTGCTGCTAACTTCCCTCCAGCTTGCGCATCGATTACCAATAGAACGCTTGCATTTCTCACCAGAAACGGAAACAAAACAAACCCTCCCGGAGGTGTATATAGAGGCGAGGCGCCACTAGGGAAGTGAGTCCTCGGAGTTAAGACGACGGATTGGTCCGACGATCACAGTGACGGTAAACGCCGGGAATTACAATGGCTATTGTATCGACGTTGAAGCTTCGTATAATCCTGCGACGCCAGCTTCTCGTCCCGCGGAAAATCCCTCTGAGTGAAAATATAAAAAAATGGTTTTGTTGACGTGTGAATATCCCGGTGCTGGATACTGGGTATGAATGGGTGGTTAAGCGTAGAGCTGAAGGATAGGGCTGAGGGATATAACTATATTAGCTGGTTGGTCAGCAGGTCCTTGTGGTGGTCTACATAACCCAACCGCGGTTGATAGTTCTCAAGCCCAACACTGAATCTGAAACCACCGTTGGTATACTCCAGAAGTCCTACAGCTTCATTTGACCAGGTGCACTGTACTCCTCCAGCACCACCACACTCCACCACACTCCATCACACTCATGACAGTCACCACGACCCCACCATCACATTCATCAAGACCCACACCCTCACCATGATCCCCAACCCACAACGACCCCCACCCACTACGACCCCAACATCACTACAACCCCACTATTACCACAACCCCCACCTACACCACAACCCCCCTCCATCACCACAACCCCAACCATCACCACGACCCCATCGTTACCACGACTCCACCATCACTACAACCCCATCACCACAACATCATCACCACAAAAACACCATCACCACAACATCCTCACCACAACACCACCATCACGACAACACCATCACCACAACATCATCACCACAAAAACACCATCACCACAACATCACCACAACACCACCATCACCACAACACCATCACCACAACCCCATCACCACAACCCCATCACCACAACACCATCACCACAACCCCCCATCACCACAACCCCCCATCACCACAACCCCATCACCACAACACCATCACCACAACACCATCACCACAACACCATCACCACAACACTATCACCACAACACCCTCACCACAACACCATCACAACACTATCACCACAACACCATCACCACAACACCATCACCACAACACCATCACCACAACACCATCACCACAACACTATCACCACAACACCATCACCACAACACCATCACCACAACACCATCACCACAACCCCACCATCACCACAACCCCCCATCACCACAACCCCACCATCACCACAACCCCACCATCACCACAACCCCACCATCACCACAACACCACCATCACCACAACCCCACCATCACCACAACACCACCATCACCACAACCCCACCATCACCACAATACCATCACCACAACCCCACCATCACCACAACACCATCACCACAACACCACCATCACCACAACACCATCACCACAACCCCACCATCACCACAACACCACCATCACCACAACCCCACCATCACCACAATACCATCACCACAACACTATCACCACAACACCATCACCACAACACCACCATCACCACAACACCATCACCACAACACTATCACCACAACACCATCACCACAACACCATCACCACAACCCCCCCCCATCACCACAACCCCACCATCACCACAACCCCACCATCACCAGAACACCACCATCACCACAACCCCCCATCACCACAACACCATCACAACACCACCATCACCACAACACCATCACCACAACACCACCATCACCACAACACCATCACCACAACACCACCATCACCACAACACCATCACCACAACACCACCATCACCACAACCCCACAAACACCTTCAAGAACTCCTCTTTACTTTTTGTCTTGCATTCAGCGCTTCAGAATTTCAATTAGTCAAGCCATTAACCGCACTAATTACCAGACAGAGAGATACACACCTTCTTGATTAGCCTATTGGAGGTGTTGGTCGGTCGCCCGGGGCCTCCGTATTGTAGCTTCTTGTAGTATAAACAGGATATTCAAATTCTTAAGAGAGTCGCCGAATTTCCCAATTGTTATTTTTTTTTTGTATCAAGTTAAGATGGAGTATTGAGGAGTGTACCTCAAGACGGCTCTCTGTGGGGTGAAGATGAGTGTAGCGTGACCTTGCTCTGTGGGGCCTCAGCAACCGGCTTCTCATGCTCTGGAAACTGCATTTAATTTTATTTGTTGCTGCTGCTGCTTCACTATTTTATATTCCCTTCCATAATTCCCCTCCCTCTATTCCCTTCCATAATTCCCCTCCCTCCTATGAAGGTAAAGAGTAAGGAAGCAGCACTAAGCGCACAGAACAGACGGGCATCACAACTTAGGTAAAAGAACGAGGAAGGATTATATTGGGCCCGTGAGAGCGGCGGTGAGGCAGGATGAGACTGACACAACAGCTACTGTGACCTGCGCCACACCTACACCAGGAGGACGACGGTGAACGACCAGGTGATTACACTACACTCACGGTGGGTGTAGTCACTGGAAAAGATTAAGAAATGTGCGAAGGTTTAAACTTAATTTTAAGATGGATTTTTTGTTATTAATCTGGTTTGTAACGTGTTCCTAGAGCTGACACGTCTAAGAGAACAGGTGCCCCACTTGATATATCACGGTGGTGTATAGTAGCTATATGATATATAGCAGCAATACAAGTACTACTATACCGGATGTAATGAAACAGTCTCCCCAGACAGGCTCTCACCGCGGATACTAAAAGTGGCAGCGGAAGTATTGTGAACAAGTGCTCTAATATTTGACTTTTTCTGAAAAAAGGAAAGCTGCCAGACTGTTGGAAAATGGTAAGTATGTTTCCTAAGAAGGGAGAGACTGATCCAATGGAGGCTTGTAAAATACACGGAACTGCTGAATTCTGCTTCGAAATTCTAACATGGATTCAATGAAGGAAAATCATGCTTGACAAATTTATGAGAGATCTTCAACAACATGACGGAAATCAAATAAGAGATTGTGGGATGGCCAAGCTGAATCTTCCTCGGTCGTCGGAGAGCATGACCCGCACAAGACAATGTTATTCAAGTTAGACCAGCAGGTTTGTGGGTCCAGAGTGTGGTAATGAGAGCTAAGAAGTACCTCTCAGTAAGGAAACACAGGCACACAGTGAGAGGGGGGAGATATAAGAGAGAAGAGAGGTATCAGCAGGAGTACCACAAGGGTGGGTACCGTGCGCCCCGTACTGTACCCTGTGACCAGCACACTGGGCTGGGCACAGGAGATACGCACCCTCGTATCTATGTTAAATAGTAATACAAAACTAATAAGACGAATCAGGACAGAAGACTGTAAAAGGCTTCAAAGAAAGTTACAAACACTTAAGACATGGCTACTGAACTTCAATTCAGACAAATGTAAAGTTATGTTGATAAGAGTAGGAGTAGGTTTATCCGTGCATCAGTACAGACTGGAGGAAACTCTGATTCATGAATCAGAAAATATATAAGACTTACGAGTACGCATAACCCCAAAAAATTTGGACAAATGAGCCTGTCTGATAATATATCAAACCCACGTGAGACCCTTTCTCGAGTATGCAGCCCCTCCCCCGTGGAACCTCCACCTGAAAAAACACAAGACAACACGAGAAAATTTCAAAATATATTAAAAAGTAGCAAATATTGTTCTAATTATTCTCTTTATTCTCGTTCTTATTCTTCTCTTTATTCTTATTCTCTTTTCTCTTCTTAATGTCTTTATTTTTCTTCTTTTCTTTATACTTTTCTAGTTATTCTTGTTATAATATTATCTTCAAATCGGCAGTTTTAGATAATCCAAATAAAATTGTCTCTGAAGGTGTTCAGAAATGTTCTGAAGTGTCTGAAGATGTCCAGAGGGGACACCTTAAAGAATCTTTGAGAATCTTCCTGCGGTGTTCTGAGGTGTCCTGAGGTATTCTGAGGTGTCCTGAGGTGTCCTGAGGTGTTCTGAGGTGTTCTGAGGTGTCCTGAGGTGTTCTGAGGTGTCCTGAGGTGTCCTGAGGTGTTATGAGGTGTCCTGAGGTGTCCTGAGGTGTTCTGAGGGCTCCTAAGGGATCTTGAGGTGTCCTGAGGGGTCCTGAGGTGTCCTGAGGTGTCCTGAGGTGTCCTGAGGGGTCCTGAGGTGTCCTGAGGGGTCCTGAAGTGTCCTGAGGTGTTCTGACGTGTCCTGAGGGGTCCTGAGGTGTCCTGGGGTGTCTTGAGGGGTCCTGAGGGGTCCTGAGGGGTCCTGAGGTGTCCTGAGGTGCCCTGAGGTGTCCTAAGAGGTCCAGAGGTATTCTGAGGTGTCCTGAGGTGTCTTGAGGTGTCCTGAGGGGTCCTGAGGTGTCCTGAGGGGTCCTGAGGGGTCCTGAGGGGTCCTGAGGTGTCCTGAGGTATTCTGAGGGGTCCTGAGGTGTTATGAGGGGTCCTGAGGTGTCCTGAGAGGTCCTGAGGTGTCCTGAGGTGTTCTGACGTGTCCTGAGGGGTCCTGAGGTGTCCTGGGGTGTCTTGAGGGGTCCTGAGGGGTCCTGAGGTGTCCTGAGGTGTCCTGAGGTGTCCTGAGGTGTCCTGAGGGGTCCTGAAGTGTCCTGAGGGGTCCTGAGGTGTCCTGAGGTGTTCTAAGGTGTCCTGGGGGTCTTCATTGATTATACTGATGGACATGAGATTGATGTCGCCCTCGAGGGGGCGTTATCGCCAGGAGCTCCGGTCAAGAAGCTCTGAGCCACAAGATATTGTGTATATTAATCAATAGTGATCGTTGGAGACTGGCCCCCTTGATTCATCCAACCTGGAGACCCAGCTTTTGGAGACCAGTCACCTGGAGACCCAGTACTTGGAGACCAGTCACCTGGAGACCCAGTACTTGGAGACCAGTCACCTGGAAACCCAGTACTTGGAGACCAGTCACCTGGAGACCCAGTACTTGGAGACCAGTCACCTGGAGACCCACTACCTGGAGACCAGTCACCTGGAGACCCAGTACTTGCAACAACTCAGTAAACCAGAAACCCAGCGCCTGGAGATGAATGCCCTTTGGCACCTACCGCTTGGAGACAATACCCTTAACACTCACTGCTTGGAGACCAACCCTCCTTGACACCCACAACCTGGGGATTAATCCCCTTGACACCCACAACCTGGGGATTAATCCCCTTGACACCCACAACCTGGGGATTAATCCCCTTGACACCCACAACCTGGGGATTAATCCCCTTGACACCCACAACCTGGGGATTAATCCCCTTGACACCCACAACCTGGGGATTAATCCCCTCGACACCCACAACCTGGGGATTAATCCCCTTGACACCCACAACCTGGGGATTAATCCCCTTGACACCCACAACCTGGGGATTAATCCCCTTGACACCCACAACCTGGGGATTAATCCCCTTGACACCCACAACCTGGGGATTAATCCCCTTGACACCCACAACCTAGGGATTAATCCCCTTGACACCTTCAGCCTGAGGGAGTGTTGAGGGGATTTGTCACACACGCACAAACACAAATTGAAAATATTTGTCTATTTTCCTAATTCATTTAATAATTGTTCCCAAAAACATCACAAAACGAAAAGTTGAAATCGCCTTTGAAATGGAAGATCCATTTCGTTATGTGTTTGTGCAAGTTGATCAATAGAAAACATCATTTTTCTAAATGGAATTATTTTGTTTTTCTTTTGGTCTCTTCGAGCTCCTCGGGCCGGATAGAAGAGTAGGAAAAAGCAGAGCTAAATATACACGTGTCCATAGAAGAAATCAATAGAACAATTAGACACAGATAATTATGCGGCCTAGAAATAGAAACCGTGAATAAATAAAACAGTATTGCTTTGATAGCCAAGATGATCTATTGCTCACGCTAATATATATTATTCCAGCTCTATTACTCTTCCTAATCTATTACTCTTCCTAATCTATTAGTCCTCCCAATCTGTTACTTCACCCACTCTATTGCCCCCTACCTGTTTATTACCCCTTCCAATCTATTTCCCTATTAACCAATTAATCCTCCCAATCTGTTAGGCCTTCCAATCGTCTCCCCTTCCCACTCTATTACCACTTCCATTTAATAATATACCTCAGACTATTATCCTGATATATTACACTCCAGTATATTACCCTCTAATCTGTAACTCACTAATCTATTACCACAGCCTATTATTACCTCTAATATAATATATTATTCCCCAATCTATTTCCCAAATCTATTTCCTCCACTATATTACACCATTATTTCTCCCAAATCTATTAATCCCATTATATTTCCACGATCTATTAATACCCCCCTCCCACGGTACAATAGTCTTGTACTACAATAGGTTAGTGTATAATACAGCGTTGAGGAGCGCTTGCGAGATCGGCCTTTTATCCAGGTTAGCGGGCCCGGGCCGGGCTTAATGGGATACCGACCTTATCGCCCCTTGACGCAAGGGCGAGACTCGATACGTTGTTAAGGGGGGACTTCGTGTTATTGATAGGGGCTTCAGTATGGGAAGGGCAAGTTGTTAGAGTCAGTGAGGGATTAGGTGAGGGGGGGGGGAGTGTAGGGGGTGGGGATGGGGGGGAGAGGATATGGGGAGTGGGGAGAGGGGAGGGGGGGAGTGGAGGGAGAACAGCGGGGGTAAGGTTTTTAATTTGAATAATTTTTTATCATAGACGTGATTATTTACAATGGTAACCAGCATTTATATATTTTCCTCTCTCGTCCATGGACGGGGGTAGAGGTGTGATAGACAGTCATCCATGGACGGGGGTAGAGGTGTGATATACAGTCATCCAAGGACGGGGGTAGAGGTGTGATAGACAGTCATCCATGGACGGGGGTAGAGGTGTGATAGACAGTCATCCATGGACGGGGGTAGAGGTGTGATAGACAGTCATCCATGGACGGGGGAAGAGGTGTGATACACAGTCATCCGTGGACGGGGGTAGAGGTGTGATAGACAGTCATCCATGGATGGGGGTAGAGGTGTGATAGACAGTCATCCATGGACGGGGGTAGAGGTGTGATAGACAGTCATCCATGGACGGGGGTAGAGGTGTGATAGACAGTCATCCATGGACGGGGGTAGAGGTGTGATAGACAGTCATCCATGGATGGGGGTAGAGGTGTGATAGACAGTCATCCATGGACGGGGGTAGAGGTGTGATAGACAGTCATCCATGGACGGGGGTAGAGGTGTGATAGACAGTCATCCATGGACGGGGGTAGAGGTGTGATAGACAGTCATCCATGGACGGGGGTAGAGGTGTGATAGACAGTCATCCATGGACGGGGGTCATCCATTTACGTCACTCCTATATAGACAGAGTTCCAATTTTTTACACAATGTGATTAATGTGTGATAACAAAGGTGCAATGCTATTCTAATTAGGTCACACATATACACATGCATACATACATACATACATATACACATGGTCTGGGGTTAGGGGGTCTGGTAGCTGAGTGGACAGCGCGCTGGACTCGTAATCCTGTGGTCCGTGGTTAGACGGCTGTTACGGGCTGCTTCCTGTGTGTGTGTGTGTGTGTGTGTGTGTGTGTGTGTGTGTGTGTGTGTGTGTGTGTGTGTGTGTGTGTGTGTGTGTGTGTGTGTGTGTGTGTGTGTGTGTGTGTGTGTGTGTGTGTGTGTGTGTGTGTGTGTGTGTGTGTGTGTGTGTGTGTGTGTGTGTGTGTGTGTGTGTGTGTGTGTGTGTGTGTGTGTGTGAAAAATATTATTTAGCTAGTAGTTAGTAACAGTTGATTGATTGACAGTTGAGAGGCGGGCCGAAAGAGCAGAGCTTAACCCCACGCAAGCACAACTAGGTGAATACAACTAGGTGAATACATATGTACATAATTTGGTCCTGCATATGTATGTATTTATGTTTGTACACATGCGGGCCCAAAGAGCCAGAGCTCAACCCCCGCAAGCACAACTCGATGAGTACATACATATACATATACACATATATATTTACGCCTTTCTTTGATAGGGTAAGATAGCTGTTATAGAGAGAAGTGAGAGAAGTGTTATAGATTAAGCATTTAACAACAGATGGTGATTATGATGCTTTTACAAACTCATGATTTAGCTATATCACATACATGGTACAAGTGTTCCAGTATTCATCAAGTGTATATCATCAAGTGTTCCAGTATTCATCAAGTGTATATCATCAAGTGTATATCATCAAGTGTTCCAGTATTCATCAAGTGTTCCAGTATTCATCAAGTGTATATCATCAAGTGTTCCAGTATTCATCAAGTGTATATCATCAAGTGTTCCAGTATTCATCAAGTGTATATCATCAAGTGTTCCAGTATTCATCAAGTGCATATCATCAAGTGTTCCAGTATTCATCAAGTGTTCCAGTATTCATCAAGTGTATATCATCAAGTGTTCCAGTATTCATCAAGTGTATATCATCAAGTGTTCCAGTATTCATCAAGTGTTCCAGTATTCAGAGAGTATTTACAGAGTTGAGCATTAACCCAGAGGGACAAAAGTCAATATGGGACATTTCTACAATATAATGTTCAAGGAAATGGGCATTTTTCTCCTTCTCAAAGTGGACACATTTGAGTTTTGAGAAAGCTGCCATTTACGTCTATAGCTGAATCTAAAACAACAACAACATCCTAGGTACCTATTTCCTGCTAGGTGAACAGATGCATTAGGTGATAGAAAACGCGTTCAACCATTTCCTTCCCGCCCGGGATTCGAACCCGGATTTTTCGATTTTAAGTCGAAAACGAATCCAACTGTACTTGCATTGACCCTTTTTTTCCCCCATTGGGTGGCAAGTGGTATTCCAACCCAGCAAGGTGGGAGTGAGTCGCTCTCGGCCACCCCGGCGCCCCTCACTGCTGCACGCGCGTGAGGTGAGTGCTTAAATATGGGTGAGTAGAGAAGGAGGGTTGGGGAGAGAGAGGGGCAAGGAGGGGAAGGAAGCAGAGGGGGAAGGAGGGGAAGGAAGCAGAGGGGGAAGGAAGGGGAGGTAAGCAGGGGCATGAGACGGGAAGGGAAGGAGGCAGTGGGAAGGGAGGCAGGGAGAGACAGGATATGGTGAAGGGTGGATGGAGAAGAGATGGTAATGATGGAGAGAGAGAGAGAGAGAGAGAGAGAGAGAGAGAGAGAGAGAGAGAGAGAGAGAGAGAGAGAGAGAGAGAGAGGCGAGTAAAGTGTATGGTAACCTTACAGCGTAGTGGTTAACTTCACCGTAAGGTTACCATACGTCGGTATTTTCCCTGACACTCTATAGTGAGAGGTATACCTCACTATACAGAGAGGTATACCTCACTATACACAGAGATATACCTCACTATACACAAAGGTATACCAAGCTTCTCGATGTAAACTCACAGAGAATATATGTATTTGCGGTGAGTGGGTTTGAGAAAAGTTCGAATATCATACATTATACATTTAGTCCTGGACTGTGTTCGAGATTATAGTTACTAGCTTGATGGTCAGTAAGCTCTTGAAGTGGATTTAATAGGCCTCCCGTGGTCGATAGGCCTACAACCACGTGTTGGGTGTATTGAAGACTGCGGGAGACACACCTAAAATCATTCCAAAATCACGAATCGTAAACAATTGTATTTTATCACACTTGTAGAACACAGCGAATAAGTTACCCAGGTCAGGCCCGGCTCCTCCAGCCTCACGCCCG